GATCAGCTGTGGGATTCTAAACCATTTGAGTCATAACAATTCATGTATTATGGAACTTTTTTCTTGACTTTTTGACTCTGCTGATAACTGAATATAATACTCTAATCAAAGAAATCCAGATAAGTCTAAGAAAAATTATTATTTTAGGGTTGCCTGTAAATCCTATATTTCAGTTATAAAATATTTGTAAACCAAGATAAGAAGGAGTAGTATAGCCTATTTAAAATCATTTTATTAAATGAAAAGTTCTTTAGGATGAATCCAAATAATACGTTGTTTGGAAAAATTAAAAGACATCCAAACTCAAAGTAGTAGTAATACACTTCTATTATTTGATATTCAAATTATTATCTTGGAATTAACCATGAATGCTTCCAAATGATAGGATGTACTCCTGAGGATACGGTGCTAGTGACATTAGTCTGGAGGACATGGGTATTTACACATATACTCTATTAACATACATAATGAAGACTGTAAGTAGAATACCAACTTCTGGCACTGCTAGAACTCAGTAGAAATTTTCTACAGTGCTGAGGACTGGATTCTGGGCCTTGTGCATGCTCGGGAAATGTTCCCCCACCATGCAACAGCCTCTAGGCTTTACCCTCTTTTAACAGTCAGAAAGTACATGATAAAAGTGATCACTACTGGCAAAAACATAACAATAGCTAATCCTTGTATTTAGGTCACTTGGCTATACCTCTCTTCCTTTGACATATTCCTAAGAGAACATCTAGGTGTAGAAAAAAATCTGCCAAAATACATGCTAATAGCAAATGTGTTGGATGAATTGAATGTTCTAAGGTGATTATTAAGAGGAAATAAATGTTATAGGCCTCATTGTTGTTATTTCTCATTGTATAAGGAAGCACCAGCAATGACCACCACTCCAGATAGTCTGCTTTGGCCTCTACATACATCACTTCCCTCTGTAAGTTCCAGTCTTCCCAAATTCAGGATCACTATGGAGTCACCTCTGTTACCCTAGCAGTGTTTCACAGATAAATACCTGGCAGTTCACAATAATTGAGTTAATATGATAGTAAAACACAAGTTCTGAGAATTTTGTGACTACACACACACACACACACACACACACACACACACACACATACACAAATTAGAAGAAGTATGAAGGAAAACGAATTCCCTTATCATCAAATCACTAGTGTTGGTGAATACTGACATCTGTAGACATTTGTTTTCCCCAGTGTATTCTGGAGAGGTCATATGCTTCCTACACTCATAGTACTTGTGAAAAAACAGGGTGCAGTTATATTATTAAACACACACACATACACACACATGCATGCACACACACACACACACACACACACACACACACACACACACCTACATCCTGGTTCCAACTTTCCATAAACTCACCAAGATTTGTAAAGTTAGAACCAGATAAAATATGTCAATAATAGAAAAAAAAACTTTCAAGCAGGGCATGGAGATATATTACTTGGCGTGCTAAGGTAAGGAGGATTGTCAAGTTCAAAACCAGTTTTGACAACTTAGTGAGACCATGCCTCAAAATAAATGAAATGAAATAAAATCAAAGTGAGAGATTTATCCCCATTGTAGACCACATGCCTAATATATGACATATGATTAAAATGTATAGTGAACATTTTAATTTCCTGTTTTTGAGACAGGGTCTCACTACATAGTTTAGGCTGCCTTCAACTTGATATGTAGCCCAGGATGGCCTTGAATTCATAGCAATCTTCCTGCCTCAGCCTCCCAAATGCTGGGATTACAGGTGTGAGCTACCATGCCAGCATTTAATTTCAAATTATTATGCACATAGCTATGAATCCCCCTCAGAATGCTCCCCCTTGTTTCAAACACACTTATCCTATTGTTTTTGTCACTTCTTCAAGCAGTTCTGGAAATTGCTGGTGAGAGTCTTTTGAAGAATGATAAGAATATAGCAAATGTTGTTGCTGAGTGGCCATTCAATGAAAAGGCAGGCACATAAAAATATAACAGTGTGTGTCCTCATCTACATTATTCCCCTATCTGGTACTGTGTAACTTCTGACCCTTCCCCTAAGTAAAGTGACCATGAAAGGTAATGTTTTGAAACAGTTGAAGACATTGAAGCATCCAGGACAGCGGAACTAAAGAGATTCACAAAAAAGGACTTCTAGGACTGCTTTGGAAAGTGGCAAGAACAATGAGGTATGTGTTTTTGAAAGGAGAGGGAGTTTTTTTTTTTTTTTTTTTTTTTGAGAATCAATAGCATTTTACTCTAAAAAATTAAAAATATTAAACATTCACCATATTTTCCCATTATACCTCTTATGTCAATTTCAACCCCCAGTGCAGAAAAGAAAAATTTTGAAGGTTTTTGATTATAGGAAGCTATTTTTCCCCATGTAAGGAAAGCTGGGTTTCAGTAAAAGAGAATGAAGCCACCAGGGAGAAGTAGAAAAAAGAACAGATGGGATAAGACAATCTTTTTTCAAGTCCTGGTGTCTAATTGTTTTTAAGGCCTTATTCTTTAATCCGTTTTTATTTGCAAATATATCATAAATTATCCTGTTGTCCTCCAAAGGAGTTGCTCCCCACTTGGTCTAGTTTGAATTGAATTTCTGTTGGTTGCAACCAAGATAATTTAGACTAACAGAGATCTTTCTGGTTACCACATTTTTTTTTTTTTTTTGGCCTGGAACGATGAATTTACAACAGATAGAACTTAATCAAGATATTTTATTTTCTTTTCAAGTCAAGTCAAATTTAACATCAAAACAACGTTCGGTGTTTGAAGAACTATCAATTTGTAGGATTCCAATGATTTAAATATCCCTAGTTCTTGACTTGCTTACTTGGCTGAGAGCACACGACACAGAAAATGCCTATAGCCTGTTGAAAGCTTCTGTAGTAATTTTCAGGCTAATGATTCAGAAATAGGGACAATATTATGATTGTTTTTGATTGTATTCTCCAATAGATTGAAGTTCTGAACATGGAGTATTCCAGTCAGGGCTTTAGCCCAGCAAAATTTACTTTAACTACAATGAAAGTGGTCACTGAGGGGCTGGGGATTTAGCTCAGCGGCAAAGCGCCTGCCTGGCAAGCGCAAGGTCGTGAGTTCGGTTCCCGGTACCGGAGAAAAACCAAAAAAAAAAAAAAAAAAAAAAGTGGTCACTGAATATTTGTTTGGAACTAAAGATTTAAGTCTCCCTAAATATAATAGGAATACTAATCCCTTTTTTCTACATAACTGCACGTAAATTTGGGGCTACTATATAAAAATATTCCCTTTCCTCTGCTTTCCAATACCATTTTACTTATTTCTGAGCTCTTACTAGCATTCTTTAATAACTACATTTCTTCCCACAATCTGCTTTAAATGACTTACCTATTCTATAAGGATTAATGTTTATCAACTATGCTCCTGACTTCCTGAATCTTCGCTAGCAGAGTTATGAACACATTTCTACTAATAATCTATCCAAAGCAATCTAGGTTTTTCTCTCCTGCTTTTCTAAATTCTTTCAGCCTCTACCTATTGTCCCATTCAAAATCCATGTTCATATTTTGAGGTATTTGTTACAGTAGCACCCCAGTTACCCAAATCTGCCATCAGTCAGGATTAAACCAGAGAAACAGAGCCAACAAAAGACATAAACTAATATATTTACTGCAAGGAAGTGACTTATCCAATTGTGGAAGCTGACTAGATGAATCCAACACCTGCATGGCAGGTAGGAAGGAAAGGCTGGTTGGAACACTGAGACACAAGCAGAACCTGCCGTTCTTTGGCAGAGCTTCATCTTTTAGGGAAGACTCAATTGTGCCTTTAAAATCTTTCAACTTCTTGAACCAGGCCACCCATATTATCTACAATAGTCTTCCTACCTTAAATTTAGCTGATTAACAACCCGAACTCTATTTACAGTTTAATTTATCTTTGCAGTGTAACAGAATATATTCAGAAGTTCCAGAAGTTAGAATGTGGACATCTTTGGGTGAAGGGATTGTTATTCAAAATAATTTCTCCAAGTCACTCAACTCCTTCATCAACATATCCTTTAATAAATTTCATTTGGCTAACCGCCACGAGCAGGTATGTTAACTCTACAATGAATCTTTTTATTCTTTATCAAACAGAAAATATAAGCATTCAGAAGCAAGTTAATTTAACATGCTGTAAAATCAGAAGCTATTGTAATTTCAGAATTTTGAGCTCACTGGGAATTTGTCTTCAAGAGCAAGGGACATTTGCAAGAAATGCATCACTTGAGCACATAGGCCTCATAGAATCAATTGGCCTTGTACAAACTTCTTAAATACCATCAGTCTGTGTACCAGTAAAGCACCTGTCAAGCACTTTATCAGTATCACAACTTCAGTTGAGAAAATAAAGAGCCCAGAAATCTTTTCTACAGTAAGCTAGATGAGAAATAATAGTTGATGCACATATATTTTCATGAGACACATGCATTTTAGAATAAAAGCCTAACGTTTACAAATGTGACATTGAAATAAATAGTTTAAAGTTATTCATTTGCTGCTTACTGAAAATTCAAAATAACAAAGCTCCAAGGAAACTTGAAACTGGATATTAATGAATATGAACTGCTTATATCTCAAACTGAAACATGGTTATTGAAATATTACAGCTGTGTTAACAATAAAAACTTCCAACATTTTAAAATAAAGTGTGACAGAAAAGCAGTCTTACATTTTATGTACTTTCCTATAGAGGGATATATTTTAAAATTAGTATTCTGTTTATTAGAATGGATTAACGTTCTTTTTACAGGATTTAATACTAAAAATTTAATCAGAACTTTGCAATTTCCTGATAGAAAACATTTACTAAAAGCAATAATATACAGCAGATCAATAAAACATTACTGAAGTAATAAAGTAAAAGAATGAGAGATGACTACAAAAAAAAAGTCAAAAGCAAAGCAGATAAAACTAATTTACCGAGTAAGATTCAGATACCTAAATTATTGTGAAAAATTGGGTTGCTACCTGATTGTCTGCCAGAATCCTGGCCCGAAATATTGGGGAAGCTAGGCTTCAAGAACTGGAACTCATTATTCTGAGAGTCTCCAGAGAGACACACCTCATACTGGTAGCTGTGGGCCAGGGTCCCGGCGCCGCTGACGTCCAGCAGGCGGGCCGGGAAGGGGCCCTCGGGCGCCGGAGCGCCAGCCTGCGCGGCC